TTCTCTCTATCTCTATCTCTCTCTTTCTCTCTCTCTCTCTCTCTCTCTCTCTCTCTCTCTCTCTCTCTCTCTCTCTCTCTCTCTCTCTCTCGCGCGCGCGTGCTTCAATCACGGAACGCCGATTGCCCGATCCGAACCCCTTCTGAATGTCGATATTTTTCCCAGCCCAAACAAGCACTATTGAAACCGGGATGCCCTGTCTGTCTCTCTCTTTCTACCCCTCTCCAGCGCAAGGAGGTGCTGAGCGAGCTTGAGAACCGTGCGGACACCCTCTCCAAGAGCCTGGCGGCGTCCCGCGACGAGACCGCCTCCCTCAAGCAAGAGATCGCCTCCCTCCGCGAGCAGAACTCCTTCCTGCGGGGCATGCTCTCCGCCCATGGCAGCGCCATCGACCTCCCTCCTATCATGCCCAGCGGTGCTTCGTCGGACAGCCTCAGGTCACACCGCAACGGCGGCGGGCGTGGCGCCAGCGCCGCCGCCGCCGGCGCTAGCGCTATCATCGGGGCCGTCGGCACCGGCCTGGCGGTGATCAGCTGTGTCGCTCTCTCTGCGGCCGGGTTCGGGGGCGGAGGCGGGGGCGGGGGCGAGCCGCGCGCGGGCTACAACGGTGGGTTTGGCGGCGGCGGCGGCGACGGCCGGGGTGTCGGAGAAAGCGCTTACGCCAGCCGTAGCGGGTTCGGCAGCAGGAGCATGGGCGGAAGAAGGACGCTCTTGTCTGTTGACGAAAGCGACTCTTTTGACTCTTATCCATCCGGCGTGGAGACTTATTCTCAGCTCGGCTTCGGCGGCGGCGGCGGCGGGGCATACGTTGTGGGCGGCTTGGTGGTAGTGGCGCTTTTTTTCTTCGTTGCCCGCTGGACATTCCGCAAGGCGGCCTCGCACCGCCGTGTCGCCGGTCGTGGAAGGCGCGGCGGCGCGTCGATGATGGGGAGCAGGGTTAGAGGCGGCGGCGGGTTTGATCACCTTGGGGGCGTTTGGCTCATAGACAGGCTGTTCGGCAGCGATAAGGCTGTCGGCAAGCTCATGTAGCAGAGTTAATTTCGTGCGCAAGTTGAGGACCCTGATTGCTGAACGGCAGAGTTTCAGTTTGTCGGTACCTGGACCATAGCATGAGTTTTTTGTTCCAAGCTGTGTCCCTGTCGGAGTGTCATGATCGGGCAAGCACCACACAAGGAAAGAGGAGAACTAGAACGCCTTTCTGTGTGGCAAAGCGTGTACCTTAGTTACGGTCTACAAACGGGCGTCCTGAGTGATTGTGGTAACAGCACAAGAGAAAAAGCACACCGATGCACGTTCCAGTCCATGTGCCCTGTTGACGCTGTTGTTTTGCGCCATGTTGTGTTCGATCTGGTTTGCCGTTCTTCCTCTTTGTTTTTTTGTGTTAGTCGATGCTCTTGGGCATCGAAACAGTGAAGTGATTTTGTTCTTCTTCCGTCGTGCAGTATTTTTTAAGGTCGCGTTTGTTTATATCACCTCGTTCCTAATGCGGTAGAGTCGTCCTTCCTGTGTACCATAGCATAGCACTGCTTCCGGAAAGAGGCGCACGAGATTCCCGACGGTCGTCAACAAATATTTATTGTCGTACCTATAAACATATTGTTGTTCTCTTTGTTATGTTTTTGTCGGGTGTTACATAATTACACAAGGCTTTGTTTTTTGGGTCTGCTTCCCGTCCTCCTGTCGGATGGAGGATGCGTGCTGCTAGGTCTGTCAGAGGAGTTTGGGAGGACAAGCGCATAGTCTGCATGACATGTATATACAATAAATGGATGTTTGAAAGGTTGCTGAGTGCATGTGGCTCAGGCAGGGCCCCCCTTGCTATTGTAGCAGTGCATATTCGCACACACACGAGTGATACCCCGTGATTAGTGCGCGTCGACATTCCCCTGCGCGGTCTCCAGATGCGTTTGCCGTTTCACGCCGTTCAAGTGTTGTTACGCTTACACTTTCGTCCAGCCTGCGGCCGTGCGCCTCAAGGTAGCCATGAAAAAAATCAAAACAATTAGAGAGTCACCATCATTACTCTTGGGAGCCGGTCTTCATGGCCTTGTAATTTTCTGTTTTTACGAGGGTGGTCCGTACAGGTCCCTGCTGAGGCCGTTCAACTCTCCAACAACTCCCGTTCTACCCGGTGCGGGGGCATAAATACGATAGATGAGAGATGTTTTTGCCTTGGTTTTCGTGAGAAAGAAAACACAGCAAGGGACGGGCTCCATTCAATTTTGATGAGTAGTGTCGGTGAGTTGAGCGACTCCACCAAGACGCCTGTCTTATTTAGTCAACTCCCTCCGGCCTTTCACCATCCAAGCGCGAAATGGTAATCTGTCAACCCGTTGCGCGATTGAACGAATGCGGCTCTCTAGGCAGCGCACTTGATCCTGACGACTTACTCCGACGCGGTGCGTTTGTGTTGTCTCGAACCGTTTTTTTTTTGTTGAAGCCCGTCAAGACAGGATGGCCCGCATGTGCTCTACAAGAGTGAGTATCAAATTTGGGTCGTACGCGCAGCTTTAAGTAGTCACGTCCAGAGTCCAAAACATGTTTTCACCGCTCGGGATCGCGGATTCATCCACACATATTTGTCGTTTTTCGATGTGTCACGGAACCCTCAGCTACACGCACGAGCAAAACCTGATGTGGATGACTTTTCTACCGACGACCATTCGGCTCCAAAGTGTGAAGTTAACGGGGTTACCCAGAGAGAGAGCGGGTGGAGCCTTTTTTTCTGTGCCGTCACGCTGGCCCGTTCTCGATAGACGATACAAGAAGGGCAGAACATGTGACCCTGAGAGTACCAACGTTTATGCAAGGGATGCGAACGGTGCTCGCGTTTTTGGGAGCAAAGCCTAAATTGAGATCTGCATACGTACATTCGAACTACACGCTTTGTCGCGTGCCCCCCCCTCAAACAAATCCCTGTCGGTGAGAGTTGGCGTTGCCAAGCAACGCCATCGAGAGGCGCGCACCCTGCCATAAACTAGGTCCTCAGAGAGAGAGAGAGAAGGTGCCCGCAGTTTTCTGATTGCCATAAACCTTTTCTCTCTCTCTCTGCCAAACACTTGTTGCGGATCTTGAGCATTTTCCATTTGTCCCCTGCCTCGCCCAACTTACGGGCGCATGCCAGCACCCCACCCTGCTTGCGAACAAGGAGCATTTGTTCCTCTCCGACCAGAAAACCGTCAGTAGCAGTCGTCATCGTCTTGGTAATGTTGTTGCGGATTTCATCTCAACAAAAACCCTATTCCGTAAGACTACCACTTCACCCCGTGGTCACTTCATGTCCTAGACACAACAATACAACAATTTCGTTGGCTGCATGCGAAAACAGGAGCACCCCCAGGTTTCAAAGACTGAAAGACTAGCCCCCCCGCCCTCCCCCGAACAATTACGGCGTACGGCACCAGAAAACAGCCAACGCAAGCACCGGAAAAAAACGCACGTAAGATAACACCCCCCCCAAACCAAGTACAACCATACCAAGTAGTATGGGTCAACACGACCCCAGACCACCAAACTGCTCCCATTTCAAGAAGCCTGACATCACCCCCCAAAACAACACATCCGGTGATAATCACTTCAGAATATAAAAAGTTACATGCCACCGGGCGCGGGCGGGTTTCTTCTTGTATCGTATCGTATCGTATACGGTAGATGGGCCTCTTGCCATGCCATTGTCGCCTAGACTATTGTTCCGATGTTGGTGGGGCATCTGCCGGAAGCCGGAAGCCTGAGTAAAGCTTCTTTAATTCGTCGTGCGGAACCTGCCGATGGTGTGACGGGTGGTAACATCGACGCGTGTTCGCAAGTGTCACAGGTAGAAAAAAAAAGAATCGGTTTCGACGGGCTGTGTGTTGAATACTAATACTCTAGTAGGAATACGGCAGTGTCGCTGACAGCGTCTCTAACGAAGCGACAACTAATTCGTGGTGTGAGAAAGAGTGGTCAATGGTCCTATTATCAAAGGCATGCAAAACATGAGTACGCCCCCCCGTCCCCCCCCGTCCCCCCGCGCCTTCTTTTGCTTCTTCTAAAATTCTTGAACGATAGGAGACAACATCAATACTTTTATGGTGGTTTATGTGGTTCTCAAGGAGCCATGACCATAATCACAGATATCTCGGCTCCCCTTCCCGTTTTTTTCACATTTTTCTCGCTTCAATTCGGCTTCAACGACAGCAGACAACATCAGCATATTGACGGTGTTTTTCATGTGTGTCATGACGATATCTTGCCCCCCCCCCCCCCTTTTACCTTTTTCTTGGTTCAACTCTTCTTGAACGACATGGTGGTAGTGTGTTTTTATGTGTGCCATGACCATAATCATAGACTATATCTCGATCCCCGCCTCACCCGTCCAAATCCCGTGACTCTCGCCGCATTCCTCGAAGCCGAGAACTCCTCGTCCAGCACGCAGTCGACCCCCGTCGACAACGCCGCCGCCGTACACCGCCCGACGACGGTTTCACCTTCTACCGCCGAACCGGCACCTGAACCATCCCCGCTCCTGCTGCTGTTCCCCGCCCCCCCGGCTTGGGCGACCCCTCGTGATGCCTCCCGCAGGGAAGGCGCCAGGTCGTCCATCAAGGCAGCGACCTCCCCAAGCTGGTGGGATTTTTTCACCTGGAAAACGTCGAATGAGTGCAGTGGCAGTGGCAGTGAACTTGTGTGCGCAGAAGAAGGCCATACCGGGAAAGAGACGAAATCGATTCTATCAATGTTGGTGCTGATATGAGATTGGGTGTGTTGTTGGCATAGGTGTCTTCCCCGCATGGAGACGCTTCCTCGCCTTTGCCGAGCTGCTTTGTATCACCGCAGCCGTGCCGGAACCTACTGGACACAGCCGTTGCGGTTCCTGAACAAGGGTGCGTAAATAAGCAGGCCGGTCGCCCTGTAAGGAATTCCGCGTGACACAGCCTCGTACTCTGAAAATACGGTCCTTATTCATTCCATAAGCATACGGGACAGTTAAACCCTTTCTTTGCCCAAGAACGCCAAAGAGCGTAACTGCACAGCTAGCGTGCCGCACAGCAGTTGCAAAACGCCGAACTGCGCCTTAAATCTGCAACGAAGCGGGGAATATTCTTAGAATATTCTTCGATGTATCGTACCTCCATGACCTCCGATAGTCCCGTCATGAGCGATCCCAGTGTTGATCGGTACAGAAACCCCCACTCGCCCTCCGCCTCTCCTCTTATTCGCAACGTCTGATGCGCACGATAGCGAGGGGTGTAAAGTGTTACGTGTCACCATCAGGTGGCTACTCAGGCACGCCAGAGGTAGGTAGCCAATCAAGAGACGAGGGGGACATGCAGGCGGGAAGGAGACACCGACATTCGAACGGAACTACAGTATTTCTGTTTCGCGGGAGGAATCGATTCCAATGGAACTATTACTGTTTCGCTGGAGGCATCGAAATTGCAACGGAATTCTGTTTGGAGGCATCGGTTCCGACGGAACTGGTGGAGCACGCGGCGTGAGGCAACAACCAACGCACAAGCAAAGTGCCCTTTGATATCGGCATCGCGGCGAAGATGGAGAGCTAGCTCGAGAGCTCCGGAATACTTCGCAACCAAATTTTCTCACAGAGTGAGAGAGAGAGAGAGAGCACTGTGGGTCAAAAAAATACACTAGGAGAGGGCGACAAGATGAGACAAGACCATGCAAGAAACTAAACCAACGGCTAGTCTTCCATGCCCCATGCCCGCACGCTTTTGCCTACTCGCACTACCGTACATCCCAACGGGGATCTCGAGGCGTGCTTAACAAAAACAAAATGAATTCAGTCACTCACGTCTAACGCTCGCATCACCGACGGCTTGATCTGACTATCACGGATGGTTTCCCACTCATCTAGCCCCTGGAGCTTGTGCTGGGTTGATGTTCCGGAAGGTCCGTGCCACGGATACCGAGGCGCGATAGAAAAGGAGGGAGGGAGGGAGGGAGGGAGAGAGGGAGAGAGAGGAAGAGGATGAGCAAGAGGACCCATGGACTAAATGCGTTCACAACCCAAACGGTCACCCACAACTGCTTTATGTTTTACGACGGTGCCGACAACAGAGAGAACGACTATTGTACTCACCTGGCACGCTCACGGAGTAAGATACGCGAGACAAAGACAACAAACAAGCAAAACAGACCAAAAATAGACCAAGTAATACTGTTTTACGTCCTAGACGAGCATCACGAGAACCTCAGGTCACGACGAGAGAGCTGGGAGACGCGCAACAACACCAGGAGGGTCAACCCATCCACCCCATTTCGGCGCCTGTACTGTACTACCTAAGCCTGTGGTGATGTCGTGATCGCAACACACAGAGAGGACCGTTCGGGAGCTCCACCAACAGCATTGCATGCAAACGAGAATTCACTCTGTTCATTGTCCCCCGTACCTTTTAGGTTTGTCCTCCAATGGGGGATTTCCACGAGTACGACGCTTCCAGCCGACAATCCAAAACATACATTTTGCTCATCTTCTTACACCAATAAACAAATCCGTCTCTATTTACTGTATCCACAAATCCACAGATAGCTAAGAGTCCAAGATTGCACGTGGGTAGTGAATTCACAGTGCACTGGTTCTCTTCAAAATATCACGGCACTGGTGTAACCACCCGATCCCCAATCGACCAATCATACCATCACACCTGGTTTTGCGCCAGGATGTGCGCCCAGCTGACGTCAGCCTTCGGCGGAAGAGGCGATCGGGATTCTTCACTGCCGGCCCCTTCCTCATCATCACCGCTGCTGTCCCCGCTCTGTTCCGTCTCCGTCCCACGCTGACTTCCCTCGAATCGCCTCGAGTACTCCACTTCCATGTGAAGTGCCATGCCGAACTTGGACTGAAATGCAAAGAAGGCGTGTTGTTGTCGTTTGTGGTGGTGGAGGTGGGTGGTGTTGTTGATAATAGTGGTGTCTAGATGGCGTACCTTACGACCTCTTCTCCCCCAAAAACATTCTGACCTCTACCAGCAGCCTTACCCCACCCGTGGCATCACCTACCCCCACGAAGACGAAATTATTCTCCTGCAGAAAGTCACTTGCTGATATAATACGCTTCGCACTACCAAGCCCCCTTTGGAGTGGAGAGTCGGCCCCCTATTGTCCTATTATCCTCTCAAAACAACTCGGAGGTCGGACAGCACTCATTCAAGAGCAACAGGCCCGGGGCTGACTTGCTGACACCCTTTAGCGTGAAAAGCCGCCATATGTTCACCTCTTATTGTATTGCCATATGTCCTGTCCACAATCTCGAAACAACCACGATAAACAAAAAAAAATGTTGATATTGAGATGCTCGAAAGCTTATCCTGTCCCACAAACGGCCAGAAACCAGTGAAAACGGATCAAATATCAGCGCCTACCACCAGTGGTGTCTTGTACCTTCAGGTCAGACACGATGTCCTCTACAGGCCTGGGTTGGACGTCCACAAGCCTGAAAGGGCGGCCATCTGGACGTCTTGCGTGCGTCACGCTGGAGATGAGCAGAGACATTCGGAGGGGTGGGGAGAGAGCGTGGGAGAGGAGAGTGCGGGACGGAATGGTGCGTGGCTGACTTAGGGTAAGACCCCTCTAGTAACAGCGTCCTCGTCTACTATTGGGGGTGTTCGAGAACAGCTGCCGTGGGTATGAAGTATTTAAGAGCAATTGCCTTTTCGGTTTTCTTACGGTATAGCCACCGAGAGATGGACAGAAGCATGTGCGCGTGTGGATTGTTGTTTCTATGTTCAAAAATTCAGCATTAATGCTCAGTTTTGGGGACGCCATGTGCACCGTACTACGCGATGACAGCAGTGCTGCAGGAGAAACAAACGCGTAGAAAGCGAAGCAAACTCCATGGAGTCATGGAATCTCCGGGTAACAAGACGCCGCCACGCACAACCTCAACACACTGCAGCACCCGCGCTGAAAACACAACAACAAAGGAAGGTACAATATTCCTGCATGACGTGGCACACCGTGGAGCAGTCACCGTGCGGTCTAGGGTAGGGTACGAAAGGCCAGCCGTTCCTTGCCCAAAAAATGGCATCTATAACACTTGCTTGCCCAGTGTCCAAACGCTTGACTGGAAAACAGCTTCGGCCGCCAACTCACTTGGTGCCGATCTGGAAGACCCCCGCGTTCTCAGGCAAGCCAAACAGACCACTGCCACTCTCCGCGGCCAGACCGTCAACGGTTGCGCCGCATCCCACTCCCACGGGGAACATGGCCACGACGGGCTTGCTCGGGGTGAGGAGGTCCCTGAGCTCGATGATGTCTGAGAGGGGGCTATCTGGTGCTCGTCCGGGGTGGGGCTTGTGAGGGTTTCCCTGCCAAACAAGAGAAGAGACGTAAAAAGAGGAACATCCCGGAAACGAGGCATGTCTCGACGCTTTATCTACCTGATGTTCTCCATTGTAATGTGAGGATTACTACCCTGCAGCGGCAGAAACAGTCGGAGATCATCACCGCAAAACGCGCTGTTCCGGTGCTTTTGTAAGTACTTCCTTAAAAAAAAATGTCAAATCATCTCCGTCGTTTCTCGTCCTTTCATATGAGGACGGGTACTGGTCCTATGCATACCAGCAAGAACGAGAAGTTCGACAGAGAGAATACACCAGGAGCCGATTATACGACAATGAAAGGCCATTGGTTACTCTGTTGCGGGCGGAGTAACGGGAGAAGGACCTATACCATGACAGTCCTTCCACTGGCCTGTTGCAGGCTCTGTTCTGTTAAGTCAAATCTGTCGTTTCTCGCCATTGGGTGGGAGGACGGGAATTGGTCCTACATACCAGCAACAGAGAGAGAAGGTCGACAAGAGATAACACACCAGAGGATCTACGACGATGACAATCCACCTGCTAGTCTGTTGCAGGCGGTGTCACGGGAGAATGGCCTTGACATGACCGTTGATGACAGTCCATCCTCTACAGCAGTCCGCTATCGGACCAAGAAAAAAAAAACAGAAAAGCATACAAAAATCTCACCTTCCACGAGAATCCAATGGTCTTGACCTTGTCCCCCGCCAGTTCCACAAACTCCGTCATGGCCAGCCTTACGGCTTCGCCCGTGAACCGTCGGTAGTCGTTTACGACATCCTGCCCGAACATGAGCCGGGTGTCGGACAGGGATTACAAATACGTTATTGAGACGATGAGCTCGCAACACGATGGTGGGCAACCCATGGAGCACAGCTACCGCAATGATAGCAACACACGTGCGCCTTCGTTCCTTATGGGTTTACCCAACGTTGACAGCGACATCGAACCCACGGCCGCACGCACAACGTCAACACCAAGTGCTACACACAACAACAAGAAATGCGTACCCCTCCCACTCGAGCTGGGATATGTAGGGAAGCCCAAAAATCAACATCGTACGAGAAAGACAACAGCAAGCCGCTTGCGATCCGTAGTCGACACCCGTAAGGACAACAAGTACAGGGATGAAGCAGGCTCCGACTAGCAACGATCGGACCTAACGTGCGTGCACAAGAGGATGTGTGAGAGAGTTTGGGCACGCAAAAAAAAAAACGCAACCAAGAAATAACCCCTGGCGAAAGAGCATCGTTACACGACACCGTAGCCGGTGAGATTGCCAATGCCGCTACAACACCGCAGCCTGAAAGGATGCAAACAGCGCACCTCCCCTCCAGTGTTCCATGGGATCTCCATGACGAAAGATTCGATGTAGTCTAGGCCGTGGTACGCCAGCAAGCAGTCCAGATGCTCAAGAGCACGCGCCGGGCTCAGGGCCTCCTCTACCGGCTTTCCTTCGGCGGGCAACTCCCACAGCAAGGCTAGGTCGTCCCTCGCGATCTGGTGGTGATCACGTCACAAGAACAGCGATCGGCATGGAAGGTGCGTGTGTTTACGAACGAGACAAAAAACTCTGCGACTCTACTGCTGTAGACAGAAAAACAAAACAAATATTTGTTACACACGCTACCCGTAGAACGCCACATAAAAAAATAATTCCGGTCGCCCTTTAGGGTATGCATACGCCGGTGAAGTCGGTCCTGTGACACAGATGGAATATCAAAAAATGGGCAACATGCTGGATAGTGACGGGTGCCCGGTACAAGGCCTAGACAGAACAAACAAAAAGTACGTCACACAGAAGGCCGGCCGCCCTCTGTGTATGGCCGGTGAAATCGTTCAACACAGATGACATACCTTTCTAACTTTCAAACAGTCTCATACGCTGGATAGCGCGGGGTGCCCGGTATGAGGCCGGCGAAAACCCGTAGCACCATACGGCCGCATATAGGGACCAGCTCTTTGGAAGGGTTGGAGAGGGATCAGTACAAAGGCGCTGGTCATCCAAGACCAAGCAAACGAACGCCCTGCTGGAGGTGAAGCTAATACAATAGTACTGAAGGAGCTGGATCAACTCATGCAAGCCAAGTGCAGAACACCACAGGCAGTGAATTTGAACATATCTCCATACTGCTGTAGATTACAAAATGCGTACTGTACCGTATCGAGCTATAGTACGGCCATCAGCGTATGCTTGGAAGAAACGACGTGTACACGTCAGAGCGATCGAAATAATATGATCGGTCTGTTGGCTTACAAGTTGTCAAAAAAGAAAAACATGCGCAAAAAGAAGACGGCAGCAGCAGCAACAACAACACGGTGTGTACTTCAGAACGTACTTTGGAGCAATAAATCGGCGGTTGACTTACAACACATGAATTGAGCCAAACATGTCCAAAAATAAGAAGGCAACAGCAGCAGCAACAAGAAAACGTGCTTTAGAGCGATCGAACTGTTACGATCGGTTGGTTGATTTACAATATCAAACGAGCCAAACATGTACAAAAGCAAGAAGACAACTGCTGCAGCGGCAACAAGACGGGATTCAGAGCGATCGAACCGTTGCGATCGGTTGGCTCATTTGCAATACAAATCAAACGAGCCAAACATATTACAAAAACAGTAACAAAGCAGCAGCAGCAGCAGCAGCAGCAGCAGCAATAAGCTCCTCCATAAGACAGCAGCAACAACATCAACAAGTACCTCCATATTCCCGAAGGTCCTGGTCTCCCAGCTTCGCTCCGGCCACTCCGGCACGAGCAGCGGCTTGCCGTCCTTATCGTGCCTCTTCACTCGCTTAACCTCAGAGGTGAGTTGCACCAGGTTGCACTGCCCGTCACTCAGTGCCCTGAAACGCCGGATGTACGTGGGCACGAGAGCAAAGCATTGCGTTGTTGCGGTGTGAATGCCACTACGTCCATGCCGTACGGTGGCAGGCATGTACGAGAGCAGGGCATTGTTGCTTGAGGGAACGCCGACACATCAATCAGACCGCAGACCGATGCTATACATGGCGGTGGCAATAACGTGTCGGCAGTGGCATCGCCGGCAGAAACGACGCGGGAGCTTTGACGCCTGTCTCGGAGTGAAAGATTGAGAGAGAGAGAGAGAGAGAGAGAGAGGGAGGGAGAGAGAGAGAGAGAGAGAGAGAGAGAGAGAGAGAGAGAGAGAGAGAGAGAGAGAGAGAGAGAGAGAGAGAGAGAGAGAGAGAGAGAGAGAGTGGCATTTCAACGAGCGCACGTACGTGAGGTGTCAACAAGCGTCGACGACGCTTAGGCAACTGACCAAACACAACCACAAAAATAAGTGAGGGCTGTCGTACAAGCAGGACGCTGGAAAAGGTACGGGGGTATGCATCGCCGGCGGGGAGAAGCACCAGGCGCAGTGAATGCTGAGACCGCTTGGAGGTAGACGCGACGTTTACCAACCACAACATCTCTCTGACGAGCATGAACAACGCAATATATCACCACCTCCTCCGCTCGGTGGCGGGGCGCCTCTACACTGACCATCTGTACTACATAAGTCTTGATATCCAACTGACCCTACGGAGGTAAGACATAGGAAGAGGTCGAGCGATGGCAACGCAGTTGGAGAGTAGAAGGGGTCGTCGTTGACTGAACTCTGCTTGCGAGTCCCACAAGGTATCGTGCGTCGTGAGTGCGCGTGGCTTCAAGTAAAGCTTGACGGACTCGGGCATCTAACTTTTGTTGAGAAACGCTGACTGGCAGCCTAGTGGGCATCGCGTCAACAGTGAGCAAGGGATGCTTCTTGACTCTCAGCCTACAGTACCTACCTGCCGTAGAGGTGGGCGCGAACGCACAGGAGGTGTGAGAGTGCGAGAGCTTCGGTCAGTGTTCGGTTCCCTACAGAACGCCCACAACGCGGCCTTCTGGCCGCTTCACGTCGCATGTAGCGGGGACACAAAGACACTGCTGTGACAAAACGATCCATGGAAGGCATGCCCACCGCAAAGTCTACTCCTTGTCTTGATTCAATGTGCAGCTAACAGCACCCCTTTGACCTGCTGTAACCGCTGACTCACGGAGTGCAAGTTGGTTCCCAAGACAGGCTGCGATGGCCGTGGTATGCAGGACTTCCTGCACACGGCATCTTGTTGCCGGCAGTAAAATCGAGTCCCTGAGGATCAAGCTCGACGGCCTCGCTGTGACCTTTACAACGCTACAGTCACCACGTGCGCCCGTGGTAGCGGCATCCCTTCTTTGAGATACTGCTGTTGTTGCATACAGCAGTAAAGCCGCATGTTGCTGAGCTGTCTCTCTCGGGTCGACTCCAGATGTGGCATTCACCGAAGTCCTCCATGAAAACACATCATACCTCGACATGTCCAAGCCACGATCAGGTGCAGCTCCCATCCACGGGCTCCCGAACCCCACCCGCGACACCCGCAAGTCTTTCCCAGGGAACTGGACGGATGCAGCCGCTGTGGGAGGTGGGAACTTGGATGCACTACCCCTGCCGCCGCTGCGGAGTCCACGATGATGGGTCCCGACATGTGCTCGTTGTCGTGATGCTCGCGCAAAGTGAGACTCCACTCCACACCAGGTGAACAGCAACGGTGGCACTCGTCGTCTAGACATTACACATGGCGACCGCGCAGCAGTCAATCGAGAGCCAGCAGGCAACATGTGTGTGCTTGCGGGTGAGTGGGCGGCCAGCACCGCACTGTAGAGATGGGGCACCGTGAATCATGGTACCGAGATTCCGAGGGTGTGGGTGTCTACAGGTGTTTTTATTCCGCCGCGTCTGGGGCAGGATCGACAGACCAGACAGAGACACGAGACACAAGAGGCTGCCAGGGAGAGGAGGCAAGACACACGAACACCCTGTCTGCTTATCACCGAGAGAAATCCCTTATTCCCGCACCAGGGCAAACGATGTTCGTGTCAAGGTGTTGCCTGCTGATTGCTCTCATCGTCCTTTCGCTTGATGATCCTCAGCGAGTTGCTGCTGCTTCTCCTGCTGCTGCTGGTTTGAACTCTCGATCTTTGACCTGGCGTTTGATGCTCTTGCCTCTGGCGACAGCCACCGCCAACACCCCCGAGCTTCGAGATTCGCTGGTCTCCTCGAACCGTCGAAAAAGGGGGGGGGCGGTGGGTTGCGCCGGGGGGATTCGCCGCAGCTGGTGTGCGGCTGCTCTCGTGCTTTGTTGCCGACCGAAAGCGGCATGTTCCAGAACAAGGACAAGTGCGCGATCCGGGTGCTGCTGCTCCATCAGACCATCGTCGTCGCAACGACCGCACGCCCAGGCGCGCGTTGCTTGGAGAAGCGGTTGGTCTGGTGCTAGACCCAGAAGGCATGGCGCAACGGTGTCGATGGGGGGGGTTGGGGATGGCAATGCTGCGCCATCATCGCTCCAGCCGGAGCAGCAGGTTGTCGGCGAGAACCACTATGCGAGGCCCGAGGTGACGAAGTGGAGACATAAAGCGGTCATCATCCCTGGGTGAGAGAGAGAGAGAGAGAGAGAGAGAGAGAGAGAGAGAGAGAGAGAGAGAGAGAGAGAGAGAGAGAGAGAGAGTAAAGTCGCTGCTGCTTTACGTACGTCCTGTGTTTGGGGAGCAAGGGCTATGTACTGTGTACTGCATCATGCAACTTACATCGTCGGGGGAAGTGTACAGCAGTAGTACCCGTGGTTGTTTCGTAGGTCAGCCGGAATTTGAATTTTGTGTTGAAGTCCGTATTTTTTCTTTTTTGTTGCGAAATACTCCGCTATACTTGTAGCGCGGAATAGTAGATCGTCTGGGGATCTGGGGATCCTTCCTTGCAGGACTTGCTGACAACACGAACGGGACAATAACGTAGATACAGATCTTGTACGCGCGTGGTTCTTCCCCTCCATTGCGCCAAACAAGCCGATGTGAGCGATAGCACAAGTAGGTGGCATGCATTCATGTCGGGCCATAGCCCGTCGCAGCCAAGATCAAGGTAGGGATACACATTCTCCGCTCAAGCGCGGTCCCACGCTCACCACACCTTCTCGCTCACCTGTCAGGTGTAAAGGCTGAAACGGACTCGAAGCAGCCCAGCACCAGCAAGTTTCCCTCAACGCTTACGGCAAAGACTTCATGACACCCATTTTAATTTTCTCGAACAGGTAGAATATTCCGTCTTGCCTTGATTGTATGCGTGTTGTCTACCCGGGTTTCGTCTACTACAACAATAGTACAGCAATGCTATGCACCCGCAGAGCTAAAACCATGACTATGTACTACACAGCAGGATGGACGGCAAACGACAATGGTAACAAAGCAATGCTATGCACCCGCAGAGCTAAAGCCATGACTATGTACTACTCTTTCTTTGGAACCTAGGTTTGTCTACGCAGGATGGACGGCAATTGACAATGGTACCAACGCAAGGGTATATCCACAGAGCTAAAACCAACACCGACCTCCCTTCGCCCTCGAACCTTGTCGGGCACACCCATCTACACATGCCTCGCGTCCTTGGTCAGGTTCGCCACGGACGCCCGTGTTTTCGAGAAGCTGTGCCACCGATTGGAGCGAAGAGGGGTCGCTAGCGTCGTGGTTCCCATCCGCTGGTACCACTGGCTGCCAACTCTGGGGGGCCGGAGTGTGCGGCCGATCCTAGATCGTATCCACGAGACCGTCATCAGGTGCATCTCGTCTTTTACCCGTGTCAGACTGCGAGTCAGCCGGCCTGCCTGTTTGAGCCTCGAGGTGGTCTGTACTTCTTTTCGCCCGTAGCTTGGAGTACATGGCATGCTGGCAGGGCAGCCCCCCTGTTTTCCGCTACCAAACTTTGCGATTCTTTCATCGCGTGGTCTTGTCTCCAATTCAGTGCTCGGCAAGTATTTTCCTAACCCCCGTGCGATGCTTCCCGCACTCGCGTACACTGCTCTATTTCCCACCCCGAACCATATCGTCGCTGTTCAAAGACATTGTACCGCCTTGTATGCATACGCCGGAACAGCTACGAGCGCGTTTGTGACACACGACCGCATCGCGTCTCGCAGCCCGTTCCCTCCACTCAACGAACCGCACCACCGTGTTGATATCCTCCCCCTCCTTTTGTCCAAATCAGGTGTGTCTGTGCCCAGGAGCACAAAGACATGCCGTACGCGTTCAACGAGCCCGGCCTGCAGAGCGAGGTCGCGCCGTACACGGCTGAGGATTTCTGGGCGGAGATGGGCGATCCCAAGGTGCCTCTTTTTGTGAAAGTGGCTTTTGTTGTGATCAAGTGTGTCCATCTCCATCTTACCGGGGAGAAGTGGTGGAACAGTGCGCGCTGATTCATAGTGATGGACAAAAACAAATCTCAACGCGACCTGGTGTGTCACGTGCTCCATTGTTTGGAACAAGGCCATGATGATAACAAGAGGGAGCGCCAAAATAGAAAAGGGAGCAAGCCTACCCATCTGTAGTTAGTATTCAGAGCGCACCGCCCGTACCCTCGTGTTGTACAGTACCAGGTGCTTGGTATGTGTTTTTTTGTTAATTCAGTGAAAGAACATTGTTGTGTTGGGGTTAGGAAAGACACAGTTCCCCGTGTCCCCTTGTAGCACCCGCTGTGAAATCTGCCAACGTTGTTGCACATCACCTGTTTTGCGTTATGCCCCCTTGGCCCCCTGTCACATTTGAAAGGGTCTCCGACGACTTCTATCTTATAGCACACTTGTCTAACAGAAAAACAGAGTGCGGTATTGCGCGTCTTCAAGAGCCGAATCTTTCAATCGGTTCGAAGTTCGAAGGCATTCCATGTACCACGAATGCTGACTCTGTTCAAAGGCATCCCATGTACCACGGTTTGTTCTTTTCGGAATGTTGAGTCGGTTCAAATGTATCCCGTGTACATGAATACGATTGTGTGTCGTTCCGGCTTGATCCTGTCTCCTTTCAGCGTGGGGCACATCACATGGGACCCATCGACCTTCCCGTTCTGCCGTCGAAGCCATCGGTAGACGAGCGCGTGGTGTTGATCGCGCATTCCGCCGGAGGCTGGATGTCCAGAATCTACCTCTCTGAGGCCTGGTAGGGTATAGGGTAGACCGCTACAGCAGTACCGCACACACATACCGTAGTACCACACCCCCTGGATCGATTTTCGAAAGGTCAGCAATTCCAAGGAGATGTACAAATCAAACGGCGCGTTGTCGAAAATCTCTCTACGAAACGGTTCCAACGCACCGCCCCTCTCTGGCAGTATTCGAGCTTCGGGATTCGATACAGGGGGTGTGATATCTAATGTCAACTACGGTACAAACACTTGTCGTTGAGGATCTCTTGCTACTGCTGTCGTTGTCGTTGCTGTACCTTGTTCCCTCGCCTGAGCCGCCGCAAGACGACCCTACCGCCATAGGCACCGCAAGGTCTGCATAAAGGTTAGCCACCCAACACTTGCTGTGCTTGAGTGACAAAACAGACGAAGGCCGTGCCCCAAACCGACTGACGTTTGGGGCCGATCTGTGCCTTCAACGTCCCGACGATGCCGTGGTTTCGTTTCGACAATTTGGCAGCTACGACGGGCGAATATACAACGCGTCTCACGCTGTCAACGGCCTCGTCACGCTGGGAACGCCACACGTCCGACTCACGGATGACAAGGGACGACACCGCGAACTGCCCTTCAGCAGAAACTTCAAGGTATGAGGTATTTCGATTAATCGAATGCAGTTCTTTTTCCCTGCAGTTTTTTGCTTTTTGGGGCCCGTTCAGCATTAAATTTCAAGAGCTTCAACCGCGTCGTCTACAGCTCTTGTTTTCCACAGCACTCTACCAGCCATTCATCTGAAAAAATCGATTCAGCTTTCGCGTCCCACAGCCGTTTTCTACCCGTTCAGCAGAAAATTAAAAAGACATTGGACCCATAGCCGCCTGTGACCCTAACCCTTGTTTCACACAACATTCTACTATCCTTTCAGCAGAACAATTCAAGGTATTCGATTCATAAGGTATTGGATCCATACGCCCACAGCCCTTATTTCTCGCAGCGTCCAGGAGGGTTTCCCACGGCCTTTTGCGGCGTGTTGCCACACGTTTGCGGGAGAGTTGCCCACCGGAAACTGTTTCGCATGCGACAAGGACCCTTGGCTCTGGTTCATCGTTAAGGCTAGGCCTGCGTACGCCGGGGCGAGTGCGGTTCTCCTTTGGGCTCGTGATTGGCTGGAGAGTAACGGCTGATAGAACCTTTTGTTGCACCGTGACAAGTTTCAGGAAAAGTGTCGCGAACGCGCATGAAAGGTTTCCAGTAACGACCGCTGCCGTCGTGGCAATTTTTTGTTTGTTGTGTGGCAACTGATACAAGCAGTTTGTGGAAGAGCGCTGCACCGGAGAGAAGGGGGGCGACTGGGAGAAGATTATACCAACGGTTTGCATCGGAGGCTCGGCGCTTGAGGGACGGTCAACCTTCGGAGGCATGTTCAAGGACCTGGTGAGCGAGCGGCGCGTGGGGTGTGGGCTGAGTTTGCTGAGCCAAGTCGCTGCGTGGAAGCATGCCGGCTGGTGTCGTCTTTGTAGACGGAAAACGCCACATGAAGGGTGAATAGAGGCGTCCATGACGTTTCCTGTTGACCTTCCTCTCTATTGTAAGCGATTTCCTTCTTGACGATGCACGGATCACGGATCATTTTTTATCTCCGAACAACTGCTGAAGGCGATTTGATAAAGACAATGAAAACATGAAGGTCCACTAGAGGGTCTCCTAAAAAAATGAACAATCACAGAGAATAATTCAGAGGGTGTGTGCTGTTTCTTAGAGGCGGGAGATGGAAACAATCTCTTATCTAGCTCGTCGTCTTCTCTTTGGACGAGAGAGTTCACGTGTCTCAAGGGAGTTCGACTCACGCGCTTTTCCCTTCGTCGCAGAAAATTGTCTGTTGTTGTTGTTGTTGTTGTTGTTGTTGTTGTTTATGTTGTTTTGGTTGTGTTTGTTGTTGTTCATGAGGTGCAAGAGAGCAGGTAAAACCCAAAGAACCACCACCACCTTCGCGAAATTTTTTTTTCACAACATAACGCGTAGTTTCAGAAAGAGAAACAGCGAAGTATCAGCGCAGCAAGGCACAAAACACAAAGCTCGCTAATCTTCTCGCCCTGTTTGCGTAGAGAACCACCGACGATACATCCTCTCGTGGGCTTCTCTCCGATGTATTGAACCCAGCTTGCAACAATAGCACTGGCAGAAGGTATGACACGATCACATGTCGTGTCCCGCTCAAGTGGTTATACTCGGAGTAGGGTACCCGGAATTTCAATGTCGGATTGCATTCATAGATTGTATAAGTATGTAGTCTCCCGTGTCAAAAGGGTGTTCTATAATCCCCCCGCACCCCCCTCCCACCACATACTTCCCTGGCGCAACAGGTGTACCAGAGCTATGAGCTTTGCTGCGGGGATGGGTCAGGGACGGGAGACGGTATTACTCCACTCAAGAGCGCGTTTGACATGGCCGGTGCCAAACGCTACGTGGAGCTTGAGGTACGTAACACTTCTGCAGAGAGAGAGAGAGAGAGAGAGAGAGAGAGAGAGAGAGAGAGAGAGAGAGAGAGAGAGAGAGAGAGAGAGAGAGAGAGAGAGAGAGAGAGATAGAGAGATAGAGAGAGAGAGGTAGGGGGGGAGGTAGGGAGGGGTTGCACCGGGCCCACTCCACCTGTAGTTGGCCTCTATACGCATGACTTTATTATAGAGCAAAGGCAGATCGATCGTTTTGCGTGCTTCATCGAAAGGTCTCATATGTGCCCATGGTTGCTATGTTGAACGAACCATCTCCTAAGTTATGCGTACCAAGCATGTGTTCGTCTGGTTGTTTCTTTATTTTTGGATGTGGAGAAGACGGGTACTGTAAAAGTTTTCTGTTTTGCTTCATTTTTTGTTTTTAGAAAGTACACATAATCTCACAGAAAGACCACCCGTTCGAGACATTTTTTTTTGTTTTGGGGAGACACATCGCCGTTTGTTTCTCCTGTGACCCCCCCCCCATATCCCCAACTCTTTTGCACAAGTCAAAGTACCGATACGAGTCAACCCCCACCATTACGCGAAACGTGTCGTTGTTTAACAGGGGGTGCTTCACGCGGCACGCATGGGTGGCAAGTGGTACGGCAGCGACGACGTCATCGACTCGGTGAGAGAGAGCCCTGCCGCAAAAATATGGTGGAACTTGACCCGACTTTCCTTTTTGGGGGGAATTTGGGGGCTTGCGCTCTTGGCTTTTTTATTCCGTTTCCTATCGTTTGTCGTTTCGTCACGAAGGGTAGCTCCGTCCTCGCGTTTCCCTCTACTGGTCGAACACGCTGTTAATTTTTGTGTTTGCCTCGTGTTCCCGTGCCCCCCCCCCCCCGCATCGTCCTGTTGCGGCATGAATTGAAAACTTCCGCAGTGGTTAGAACCTTCCCTGGACACGATCTTCGGCCCACCGGTGGAAGAGGTGGAGGGCACACGTAACGTCTTCAAGACGACCACGGAGCTCCCTCAGAAGGGATCGTCCCGCACAGTTGTCCACGACGGAGATCGGGTGCAAAATGACGTCACCTGACAAAGCCCACGTTTGCTACGACGCACCCAAACCGCGAGTGAATGCAGAACAGGACGGCCGACCGGGGTGGTGGTGGGGGGGTGCATTGAATGGGGGGCATGCTGCGTAATCCCCACAGGAGATTTTCGAAGGCACAAGGACGAACGGGTTGCCACAAGGGGCGCCGATGGCATGGTTCGTCGTAGCAGTATTTTATGATTCCAGGAGGGGGGAGGTGTTGGTGAAGGATGGCCATGAGGGTACGGACGGCGTTTCGTGGCACCCAGTCACCACGGATACCATCATCTCATGCCATCATCTCGAATGGAAAAGCTTTGCTTGTTGAGGAGGTACCCGACAGCTCGAAACGGCAAGATGTACTTATTGGTCCACATGTAGGTGGCTTTGTTTTTGGCGCGTTGGTGGCGCATCATATATTTCTGGCACTGAGGGAATAGGGTAGGTAGTGTCGGAGGGCATAAGGAAGGCGTATGATTACGATTCTAAGCTCGCCGTTGTACAGATGTATGAAGGATAGGCTGGGAGCGGGGGTAACGAGAAGGACTGACACCTCTAGCGATTCATGGGTGGGCAGTGATATGGCCGGTTTGGGTTTTGGTAAGGATTGGAACGCGGCGAGCGTGGATCGCTGAGTCTGAGGGGTTCATGGATGGGATCTTGCTTGTGAATATATGCCGGAGGTGGTGTGACGTTGGTCGTTGTTTTGGGTGGCACGACCTTTCCGAAAAGTTGGTGTCCACCGAGAACTCGTAGACTATGTGTGTAGAGATTGATCGCGAAAACGGACGGACGGTTTGATAGACTTCAGCCTCAAAAATTCCAAAATGTAATAACTTGCCAAAGAGAAAGAAGCCTACACTAACACCCATATAGTCGCCATGGGGATGCACTACCCCATAGACTGTACAACGGACAAACAGAAAAGGAGTCGGCCAAAACAATGGGTTATTAATGATGAGTTCTCAAGTGCGGGCGCTATCTGTCTAGTCTATCGCCCGAGACTCGTCTCTTCCTTTGCGGCCCCAACATCTAGACTATGGCTATTGATGCAGTTCTCCAGACGGCGGCAGTGAACTACAGCATTATCATTGGTGTGACCGGTCTGTAGTCTGTAGCGCCTAGCATATTGTAGTCTACACCATTATGGGGGGGGTACCACCAAGCGAGTTTCGAAGCCGTGTGGGTAGGCGCTGCGCAATCGCCCTGCTCGTTGCAGTGAGCAGATCGGTCTGGGGGTTGGTGTCCTGCCTACGTTACTACATGTACAGAGGTATCTCCAAATCTTTATCTTTTTTTCCTTGATACGCATACAGCAGGTACAACCCGGATCGCGCTGCTGCTGCCTCTGATTGTCGATTGGTTGGTTGGGCTCCATGCAGCACTGCTGGGCCCATGTTCTGCCATGTTCACACACTGAGGGTGATAGCTTCTAAGGTTTCTTGGTGCGAGCCAGCACAAATCGACCAATCAAAATGAATGCGGCACAAGCTGACCGGCGCCCTCCTTTTCCCGTAGAAATTGTTCCACGATTCCGAAACTTCTTCGGGTCACCTGCAACCGCAGCAGTGTAGTAGGTCTGGCAGCATACATCGAGGAATAACATCAGAACGTGGCCACACCAGGAAAGAGGAGCGAGAGAGAGCGAGAGAGAGAGAGAGAGAGCGTACCAACAAGCTACGACGCGTCTGCTGTGTCGATCGCTTCACCCGAACCTGCCGCAAGGTGAGAGGGAGAGGAGAAAGGCAGGGTGCTTCGGTGATGGCGAGTGCCGGCGAGATGGTGCAAAGAACACAGAAGCACCAGTAAACTACTGCTGTACTGCAGCAGTACCCGATTTACAGAGCGCGGTCTTTGCCTGATATATGACTTGCTCTTCTGTGCAGCCCTGTGCTGCTGCTTGTGCAGCACAAAATACATCCTTCAAAGAGGCGTACACTAGTGGCCAGAGGGGCAGGTTGGGCACGATTTACAACCTGGGGGGGGGGAGGTTGGGAGGACGAGTCCTTGAACCATTGCTTGAACCCATTTTTTTTTTAGGCTTGCAGTTCGCTGTGTTGGTTGCAACAACGCCACTATCCAAGATGCGGAATAACTTGCACACGCTTTGGGTTGCAACCTCCCTACAACCTCCCCCCCCAGGTTGTAGTTGGTGCCCCGACCTACGCACAACCTGCCTCTGGCCACCCTTGTAGAGACGGCAGAAATACCCGCGGGTTTGTTGCCCTGCCTTAACTCTGACTGCTGCATGTGGGAACATCGGAACATCGTTGTAGATACGATGGGGACGCCAGCATCATCCGTGTAATAATCTCCGATATATTTTGCTCATGGGTGTGTGGCAGAAGAACCACAGCAACTGGTGCCGTGCCGATGGCATGAGCCCTTGTCTTGGCGGCCAAGTCGCAGTGCGTCTGTGCTTTCGTCTGTCGTCGTGGAGGGTATGCATCGTCTACATTTATTTCATTTTTTTTTGCAGCAGCATGCCGTTCGAACCCAAGGCAGCCGTGAGGGACGTCGAGACTCGAGACTGCCATGTTGAGAGAAGGCGGTCCCGGGCGTTCCGTACGGCTGCACCATCACCCGCGAAGTAGAGAGATATGTTTCGTTATACATGCTCATGGGACGAGCGTGCATACACCCACACCAGCGATGATATCTATTGTGCATAGAAAATCTGCATAAAACACACGGAAAGACGACCCGTTCGAGATGCACAAAATGTCATGCATACAACGCGAAGTACTGCTGTAGTCTACATAGACTCATACAAGCAGTTGTAACCACAGCGATCAGAGCAGTCGAAAGCGATGTGCGCAGGTCTTCTCAGTGAATGGAGGAAAACCGATCTCTTTCGTATGTGTCCGTTGAAGCAGTTGCACCAGCGCAGGGCATGCTTCAACTCTTTACATCTGACCTTTATTTAGTGGTTCCGACCGGGTGGAGGGCACCACCGCTTCTCTTCTGGTCTCTCTTCTTCTACACAGTACAGCAGTTGGCCAGTCCATGTCATCATCATCAAAACGCACCATTTACAGTTTTGTGTGGCAGCTCAGTTTTCAACTGGTCTCGTGTGTTGTATGCGTACATATGCGTACGTGCGTGGTGGCATAAAAAAAAAAGCAGAAAATGCAGGCGCCTTGGGATTTTTTCTTGCGGCCCAATGGGGCCCACACGCCACACAGCAGTCAGCAGTCATGCAAGCGATGCGATCGTAGCTCCCCATCCTGCGGGGAGGTCGGCTCAATTTTTCGCGTGGTTCGGAGCTTACAGTAGGCGTGCCATTGACGGGGTTGCGAACATAGTTAAATTGTTGCGAAACCTGAGCAAAAAATCACTCGGTTGATTCTATGGACGCACCACTCTCAAGATTCTCTCGCTGTTCCCGGCTCGTTTATTTGATTGGCTCCTCTGTACGGACACTCGACAGGGACTACAGTACGTCACAAATCATGGATGGGTGCCATGTGGTGTAAGGTTCTTGACAGAGCGCGTTTCTTTTTTCACGTTGCCTAAATTAGAAATTGCGGCGCGTTCTGTTCGCCGCGAAAAGGCTGTTCAATGAAACGCGGTTTCCTCAAGATCGGAGCAAGACTCAAAGGCACAGCGCTTGCTCGGAAGGGTGCCACTTGCAGGCGCGACGCTTCTCCAATCCACTCGAAATCCAATAGCATATTCTCAAGAGCGTTGATCAAACGAAAAAGTCACCTGGTTTTTGTCGACAAGAAAGATAGCAGCCACGTCTTACAACCCCCAAGGTTTGTAAGGAAAATGTCCTCTCAGACGATATGTTTAGCCGAGTTTCGAGTCGCCGCAGAAACTGAATGTACTCAACATCAGGCTACATCTTCCGGGGGGAGGTTCAGAATTAGGGTGGGGTGGGGTTCAAGTGTGCTTCGAAAAAAAAGTCAATTAACACCTGCCAAAGGTATCTACCGAAGCCGATGCCCCTTGCGGACTGACTTTCGTGCTCATGCTATCCTCCGTATTCCTGTGTTGATGTCAGTCACAGGACCTTGCACGAGAATGGGTAGATGTAAAGTCGCCCAAAGATAACTAAAAGGAAAAAACTAAAACCAACAGGAAGAAGTTCGTTTATTGTTACCGATTATGAGTTCTGTCAAATTAGCACAGACAGCATCGTCGAGGTACTGGTGATAGGATTCGCGTACCATGTAGTCCTTTTTGTAAGGTATGTTGCGCCTGGCGGCCGCAGAATACAAGGGAGGCTCCTTGTCGCGGCGAAACAACCCAATCACATCCCGTCGCATGTCGCACAGAACACTACAGCACTTGCTGAAACCAGCTCTGCAGGCGTCACGAAAGCAGGCGATCGCAAGACCAAGGACGAGCCCGCACCATAAAAGTAAGGATGTTGCCGAAACGTTGTCCTCGTTGATTGGTTTTCATCGACATCCATCCGCGTTTTCTTTTGCCTATCTGCCCCTTGTTCCAGCCCGAACACGACAGGACGCTGGATACTTTTGTCCAATCGCGCCAGATCTCGCCGGCGACGGATGCGACAAGTCGAGTTTGCCGACCCGGTGAAGGACGGCCGGGCACGCGCAAGGGAACGACTTCTGAGCAGCCTACCTCCGGCGAGAGGCGTAAGCGAATAATCCACGCAGCAGCATGTCGTCCCTGTCCAACCTGCTCGGCGACAAGACGTGGGTCCTCCCCCTCGCGGACGGCTTCGACGGGACCCTCACCATCGGTTGGACCTTCGTTTTGCTGGCATACTTCTTGCATCCGGCCATTGAGTGGGCGTTCCACAGGCTGCGCGCCTACCGTGCGTGGCGGTGCATCCAGAAGCGCCAGGCTGTAGAGGTCACCAGCTACAACCTGATGGCCGAGGTCTTCGGGGGGCGCGGCAGCTGGGATTCCGCTCGCAACATCGCGGTGATCCTGGCGGTGTTCTCCCTGGCGTCGTGGGGCCTGGAGCTGTCGATGGACCTGGCGTCCCTAGAGGGCGAGGCCGATCTCCTAAACCGGCCACCGCCGGTGTTCCTGAGGCCCGAAACGAACGACACCAACACTGACCCTTGGCAGGCGAGTTTCGGTTCGTTGTTGTCATGGTACCTACTGTAGGTTTCTGGTTCTCTGATGTGTGCGTTACAATACAGTGGAGTTCTCTGTGAGGTGTGCCCAGAAAACTCAAAGACACTATTCCGGACACGGACAATACGGATATGTAGGTTTTAGTATAGGAGTGGGCACTCGTGCCAAGAGATATTGACCGGCATTATATTGGGCACAGGCACTTTTCAACTGGCCTTCAGCAGGGACCTCTCCTGTACTCGGAGCCGGGCCTACTGGTACTGTAGGTGGTGGTGTCTGTTCTGATCTTCTGATGTCCCATGGTACTCGACTTCATGCGCGAGCGTTTCACCTTGCCTATACCTCGGATAATTTCATCATACCCTGTATGTGCACTCGTACTCCAGGTCCTAACCCTGAGTGACATAGATCCTGACTACAACGGTAACTGGCGGGGCTTGGAGCACTTGAACGTCGAAGACACGCACGCCAACTCCAGGTACTACATCGTGAAGGACACCAGGGATTACCTCGGGAAAACGGCAAAGGATACTTTCATCAACGGCGAGATTCTGGTCGCCAGCTGGGACGACAAACCGAGCCTGTTCTACGACATCAACGGCGCCAACGTCGACAGCCTCGAGTGCTCCGGGGAGACCCTGAAGGACGCAGAGGTCTACCTCGGGACCGATTTGTGGGGCAACGCGCTCGACTGCGAGCGGGGACCTAGGCCCACCGGCTTGACGACCAGCCCGCCAGCGGTCGTCCTCACCAACGGCGACTCCGGACTGGTGAGCGTCATCGTCGAGGAGAGCAGCAGCTACCCCACCTTCCTCTATTCCGTCTGGACGGCCGAAGGCTCGGACTCGGTCGAGCTCGCCTACCTGTTCCACGTCCATTCCACCGTGCGGCTTGTCGAGGCCGTCATCACCGGGATCGTGCACGGAGAGACGGAGGGCGGCGCGTGCTTCGGCCTGCTCAGGGTGTTCAGCGAGACCCGCGTGGAGTACGAAGACGGCCTCGATCGGGCCTCTCCCTTTGGCGAGATCCCCACCGGGGACACCGTCCTGGTGCAGGACCTGGAGACCATTGAGGCCGGCGTAGAGATCAACATGAACGCGCTTGTCTGCCTCTTGTGGGTGATGGCCTCCACCGCGGTGTGCGTCGTCTGGCTCATCTGTCTCCGCAACTCCATCGGCATGGACGTCTACGACAGGTGTGTGTGTGTGTGTGTGTGTGTGTGTCACCCTAGAAAGGGCCTAGGACGTGCACCAGGACACACTCCCCGCTGTACCGTGGGGACATTAGGCAAGAGCATGTTCTCCGGCCGGCTGGGGTTAGGCAAGGCCTGCGGGTCAATCCATAAAGCAGGGCGCGGACAGAGTAGAGGTACGTCTTTTTACGGGAAATCACGACGAAGCTGCCGGTCGTGTCTCGGGTAATGACGTGCACCGGGTTGAATTTTCGACTAGGGAAGGGGAAGGACAGGTGATGTGGGTATGGGTGGGTATTGGCAAGTTACCGATTTTTCTTCAGATGCGACCGTGATGACAACAACTCTTAACCTCACCTTACATCTTCCCTCCCCGCCCAAACTCGCGCACTCACGATGGCAGGGACGAGCTCCTCCGCGCTGTATCCCTCCAGGGGCACGCGTCGAGAGACCCCGCGGCCGAGCACCCCGCGATCCGCATCTTCGTGCGGAGGGAAGACAGCGGCCACATCACCGTCTTCATCAACGACAGCCACGACAAGGAGCAGAGGGCCTGGGAGCGTTTCCTCCGGCGCCGCACTTCCAAGGTGGTGGAGGGCGACGACCGCTTGCCTGCTGGGGGGGATGCCGACGCCGCCCTGTCCGACGACAAGTTCGGTGGCGCGACCGTGCCCGTGAAGAACACCGTGTCCCTGGGGGGCTTTCAGGCCGACCACAATACGCACGACGTGTCGTCGGCTGGAACTCCGGCCCGCTCGGGCATTAGATCGCTGGCGGTAACCCCCGTGCGCGACACCATCTGCCGGAATCCGAGGCCTAATCCTTTCGAGGGCATGGACTCGCCCGCCAGCGGTAGCGACGGTGGGCGGTAGCGGTAGCGGCATCGTGGAGGATCGGGGTTGACAGCGGGAATAAGAAACGGCTAGGGCCCCAACGTTCGGCACGTCGGGTGCCTCGAAGTGGCCGTCGACGCTGCTTCCGCGAGAATTCGTCACGCTTCGCAAACTCTACCCGGACGTCGCAAGAAAAGACGACAAACACAAACAACTCCACCGGGGTCATGCGTTGGGGAAAGGGAGGCTTCGGGGAAATGAGGGGGGTATCCGTGGCCGGTCATCCTCGACATATTGAGACGACTGCTGATCACGCATTGCCGTCGCCAAGCCTTCAGGAGTTGATCGCAACACCGGCGGGCAAACCCGTAACATCGTAAATATTGGGCAGCTGCAGCTTTGAGAGCTCTTGTGCCCAACGTCGACACCTTTGGTGGGTACTGTAGAGGGGGGTGTCTCTTGGTTCGTTTCCTCGTGAAACGATGTTGCTGCAGGGTAAAGGTTCTTTGCACGTGCGATCGAATATTATCACCTCTCGTTCAAAACATCTTCTGGTTTCTTTTTGCATGGAGGAAGCACATGGCGGCACTTTCTGAATTTTGGCATCATTCTACTCTTTTTATTACGGCTAGACGCGGGCTCCGCCTAATCGACGACCGACCCTGGTGCGTTTGGACTAGGAGAGTCATTGATGCCTGTGATGACATTGGTGGCGTTGTTTAGACGAAAGGGCGCCGCCGGGAGGAGGCGACTTGGGGACACAAGAACGGTGCAATGGGTGCGTATCCATAGCAGTTATTTGTAGTCGAAGGTCGTTTTCATAGCGTAGAAAATTTGGTGTGCATTTCCAGAAGTAAGTGGAGAGGTCTGTCGGAGTAGTTGACAGAGGAAGACGAATCTGACGTCGAGGGCTTTCTGGGGAGATCGGCACATATGTTGGTCAATATCCCACACACAAGTTGAGATTGATCAGCAGATCGAAACATGGATGGAAAGTTTCCTCTTCCGATTCCGCCACTAGCGGTCCGTCCTGAATTTATTTTGTTGACGACGAGTCTCGAGACTGGAGCTGGGGCCATCAATACTTTATTGCCGGGGTCAATTACACTGAGTCGTTCCTTTCATTGGCGAGTTGCCACTATCGGGAGGTATGTAGTGGTTCAGTCGGGCGATAATTAACATTTTGTACTTCGTGCTTGTTGTGTATACCTACCGTATTCGCCCCTGGTGTCTACCACCACACAACAGTACACACTTCAAACTTCAACTTTCTGGATTGCAAATTGCAAGTGGGGTTCTTGGAAACGTTGGCAGTGATGAAGCAAATAGCTGCGGCACACCGCTGCAGCTGCCGTCTCGCTTTTTCAAGACGATTTGCTTGGGGGGGCGTCAGTTACTGCTGCTGTGATTGCTGAGTTTTTCGACAAGAAGAGTAGTAACGGTCGGCCTGGGTAGATAGAGGAGGTAGCATTTTCCCTCTTGTTTTTATGTGGCCCGATCATTTTATAGTCGGACGAATAGTATATATTATAATAAGAAAAATGTATAGACTAATATTACTAGATGGATTGGATGTACATGGCCATTATGGATGGATGACTTGTTCACGGTTATGAGACTTGTAAACATGTATGTAGGTGTTGCTACATGCCGAGAGCATCGAGGAGATGGCAAGTGCAAAATATACATTTTTACGTAGTAATAGATACAGCTGAGCTTTGAGGGTACTACCGTAGCGCAGCATGGGTGAGTTGTCCTACGATACATCGATCTAGGGGGGGGGCACCTGCGAAGGTGTACCGATTCTGGTAAAAGTCAATCGACGGATACCCTGCGAATCGGGTCCTCCTTAACACCCCCCCGAAAACGTTGACTAAATACATTTTCAAGAGACGAAAGCTTTCTTTTTCGGAACCAAGCGAATGGCTGACTTGGCTGGCTGGCACAGACAGGTGGGTGTGGCCATCCCGAGATCAGATTTTGCAAGAAATAATGGAAAATACTCGAAAGCTACAGGTAGGTACACAGGAAGGCGTGGACCGCGTACAGCAGAACCCCACGCCACGGTTATGGGTATATACCAGCTCCTTTTTTTGCCCGCCGTCCTATCATAGGATTCGAGCACATTGGGCGATGTTGAATTGGACGCTGCTGCACGCCGAAGCCGAATCGCGGCGTTCGGCGGTCCATTCCGAACCAACACATATATTATGCAATTTCATTTCGGCGGCCCGCAAGAAGTGACGAAACAACTTCCTTCCCTTCATTCACAGGAAAGTTCCTTGCGCATCTCGCACGTTTGAGCGTTCTATTGTTCATATAAGAACATGCATATGTATGTGCGGCCGGAAGATTGTTTGCCGTGCGCTCAAGTTGCCGCAACCATTTGTTCCACCGCCTCGCAGCGCAACCTCTCCAACCTGCTTAGCCCAAACAACCGCTGAATGAATAAGAAGAGGCTTCCGGCACGGCAAACAGGTGAGGAGGAAGGTGGGATACTTGAGGGTTGTGCCTGGTCCGTGCCCATGACATTATCCAGCTACTTCGCAAACATGCCGTTGTAGGAGCTACGAGCAGCAGTCGATACGCAGAGTAGACAAGAGGCCTCTCTCTTTTCGAGGCATCGTCGGAAAAAAACACCTGTGTACAACAGGGGCTACAGTACGAGACGGCACGCTAAAAACCCGTCACTGGGTACACGTGCAGCAGCAGCAGCAGCAGCAGTGTCTCCTCTTGTTTTCTTCTGCTTCGCGTGCGGGTAAATGCGAAGCCCTCACACATCCTCAGTAGAGCAGCAAATGTGCATACATACCTATTGTACCAAAACCGATGAGCGCGTGCCGCAAGGAGCATAGAATAGGAGCTTGACGAGGAGCGGGGGTGGACAGAGAGAGAGGAGAGAGTAGCCGGTGCTCCGCTCTGTTTGGGCGTTGTGCCGCTCTGTCACAACTGCTATTATTGCCAAGGCCGCTGCAACTACCTCTTATATGTGTAGTCAATAGCCTATGCGACGGCAACGTAAATAGGTATTGCACATGCCCTCTTTACAAAACGCTGTTTACCATCGGGCACCCGCCTTTCAAACGAAACCATCGAAAAAAAAAAAACACACGCAAGAAAAACGCAGGTCCAACTTCAGAAGAAATAAATTTAACCGGAGAGCAGCGAATGATGTAGAAGTTTTTCAGCAGCAGTACCCGCTGTGCGAACAATGGTTAACTCATAGCCGCGGCAGGGATTGGGGCACTGCGAGGACAGCAGCGTCCTTTGACCGAAACGAGAAAGAGATTGTGCTTATCATGTGATAAGCGCGGATGATGTCTGTTCCTCGGCGGCCCCAGTCGATTGGCATGTGATGGGATCTCAGAGCAGACCAGTGATTCTGATGATATTATAGAGGAGGCTGTTACGGGATGTAGATATATATGTAAGCGGAACAGAATGCGTCCCTTTGGAGGGCGCGGGGAGGTGTACTGTAACTCCCCGATGGAAGAATGAAACAGGGGACAGGATCTGGTAGCCCCTGCTTGCTTGATCCCCTGTCATTCATCCTACCCACCGGTAGCCAAGGCAACGGCAAAACAGCTGTTGTTACGCATGTTTAATTAATACTTCTTCGATTTTAGCAAGTGAGTTTTCTTCACGGGTCTTAAGATTGCACAGCGCGTGCGTATCCTCACACTTGGCGTTGTCGGCATATTCGGCGAGGTCGAGCTTTCTCTGTTCCCTGCTGCGGTTATGCCAGTTTTCGTGTGGTGTCACGACCTGCTCTTCTACGCTTCCGTAACGTTTGGTTCCGGCCTTTTTGGTACACGTTTTGGTGCCTTTGTACGTTTTCGATTTGTTTCCGTCTCTGTACCTTCTCTTAGAGTTTGCGGACTGCAGGTGCTTCGTGACCTTTGTTGTTGTCGCTCCCACGATACCGCCGTGATGGTGATTGTTTGGCGTATTAGCGCTTGGCCGTTACAGGCCTTTTCGTCGTCCGACCACGTTCCCTCTTCGTCATTCCGACGAGGTTCCATTGTTTTTGTGTTTTCTTAATAATATGAGCCAACGAATCCATCTCTACGATTTGTTAGTAATGAATCCATAGCGTCAGCGAAGGCTACCTGTATTTCCACGATTTCCCGAACAGCACACAGCGATATCTCCCCCGTTTTTGTCGTTCCAACGACAGTTTTTTGTTTCTTTCTTTGTGTTCTCTTTTCCCCTTTGTTTTGGGTTCCTACCGGTTACGGGATTTGTAGCTTCGGTCTTTCGCGATTCTACCTTGGTTTCCTCTCCGGTCTATTCCTCTCTGTACCTTCTTATATTTTACATGTCAAACGATGGTCTTACGCAGTACGACTCATCGAGTGAGAGGTGTGGGAGGGTAATTTGTTTTGTTTCGGAGCCCCACATCCTCGATACTCTCATTTTTGGATTCGGCGATTGGTTGTCAAGCTCCGAGGTCTCAGAATATCTGCGTATGAGAAACATTGGCTATTGTAGTGTTAAGGGATTTAGACTAGACGTCTAATAGCGGAACATACACGAAGACAATGATTCCTTCCAAGAAGGAGCGGGGAGATGTAACCCCCCGATGGAAGGACAGGGGACAGTAGCCCCTTCTTGAGGGAGTTGAGCCCTCTCCCACGGTTGTCATTCCTACCTACCTGCTGTAGCCGCCAACTACCTGTAGCCAAGGCAACAGCTGCTGCTGTTGCGCACGAGTTAATTTCAAGTGAGTTCTTCATCACCACTTAGATTGCACAGCGCGTGCGCATCCTTTCAAGGCATAGTCGCGAGTGATGAAAGAAGTGGTGGTCTGTTTCAAATTGATGTGATTGCGCTCTGATGAAAGTGCTACTTGCCGTAACTTGGTCTGCACGATGGTGGTGGTATTAAATAGTGTACCATCCCCTACGCCATAGTGTCAGCCAGATATACTGTTCTGTCCACAAGATAGCATGACTGCATGATATCGACCTTACAATGTATGAGAGCTAAACTCAGACGTCACCGCGATACATCTGTCTGTTCGTTCAATCTGCATCAAGCTTGGCATTATCTACAGCCGCAGCAATCATCATGCAGCAGTCGCTGTAGTGGGGTTCCCGGTTGAGCTATTCCCTCTATTGCGGTTACATAGTAGTCTCGTGGCAACGCTGATTTCTCTTTGGAGCTTTACCGTTCGTGCCCCTTGTAGCGGTTATATTGTTCAGTGATGATATTGATCACAGCGAGCGGTTATGGGTTCAAATTTTATTGTTGCAGATACACCACGCTTGCAGTCACTCACGCGCCTAGCGAATGACACCCCTTACCGCGGGCCACGCATACACACTGCTGTGCGTGGATAGAGAGTTTTCCAAGCATCCAGATGTGGCACTGAACCGACTGAGGGACATGGTTGTCGCCAGGCGGACATCACGAGAGGATGTTTTGTTAGGTCACGTGTGAATTTGTTTGCTGTAGCAGAAGTAGTTTCGCTGAAGCTCGAGGGTACGGTTGGCCTTTGAGTTTTCACGAATTGCCCCCACGTGCCGTAGCTGCGCGTGTGCACTTGCGTTAGATTTTGCAATCATTGGGGGAGGGCGTGCCTTGTCGACTTGTTGCCACCCCTTTTGTCTACGTCGAACCCCCTCCCCCCTTTTCATTCGCGGATCGCCGTACTACGCATACATGTGATGATGACATCAGGACCAATTGTCCAGCAAGCGAGAAACGAAAGAACCGGGTGAACAGGATTCACTTTCTTTTCCCACCGCCATTGCGTTTAGAGTGTGGAGCAAGCTTTATATGCTTTCGTGTATCGAAATGCACAACATCATGTGATCCTGGGTTGTCTGCTGTAATGTGGGACCGTTGCATCTTTCCTCCGCCTTCGTATGACTACTGCAACGAGACAATACGCATTTCCGCACTCTTGGTGGGCTTTTCTCCCGGTGTCCAAACCGCTGTTGAGGCCCCCGGCTTCGAGTTTCTACAACATCGAAACGGGAGTAGCGGAGACGCCAAAAACATCGGTTATCAAATCACTACGAGCCCGTGGCGGCCACATCATGCATACGTTTGTTTCGTTACACCGCTGTTTCACCCCGAGCCGCCAGGCATGTATGCGCGCTGTGCCACCCCGTGGTCGAGCACAAAATATTTCATTCACCTCCTTACAAACCCTTCCGCCACATGTACCCCTCGTGACGCAGGCAGAACGACAGGCCCGCGAACGCGTGTAACATTCTCCACCCCACGATACTCTCGACGACCAGGGGAGCTGCGCCCGGCCCTCCCTGTTGCAGGGCCTTGCCCTGCGTTTTGCCGGATTCAACACATCGCCGAGGGCCGAGGAACCGGCGGGGTGTCTGCGGTCTACTCCTGTATCGGTTGGCGCTTTCGCCTTTTTCTGGGCCAAACAAACGACGGGAGCGAGAGCAAAACAACACCGAGCGAGAGAAACAATTAGGGCTGTTCGTCTTTTCCTCTCCCTGACCAACGCGCAGACATGGAGAAACTCTCTACCCTGCTGAGCAACGAGACATGGACCATGCCGACGGGAGGCGTGGACAGCACTCTCGCTATTGGTCTCTCCTTCATCTTCCTCGCCTACATCTTGCACCCAGCGATCGAGGCTGCGTACCAGAGGGTGCGCGCCTACCACGCGTGGCGATGCATCGAGAAGCAACAGAGGGTTGACGTGACGACTTACCTCATGCTGTCGGAACTGTTTGCGGGGCGCGGTAGGTGGGACGCCGCGCGCGTCATCACCCTACTGCTCTTGGCGTTCTCACTGGCTTCGTGGATTCTGGAGCTGTCGATGGACCTGAACCCTGTGGATAACCCAGCTCACCTTCTCACTCAACCGCCCCCCGTTTTCAAGTGGGATGCTGAAAACGACAATGGGGAGGTCCCCTGGCACGTGAGCGCTGCAGCATGTCCTTGGTTCGTTTTCAGTCCTTGTCTCTCGCCGTCGACCGTCGTTTTACCAACCACTGCTAGTCCGTCTATTGTAAACGCCCCATCTTTTTCATGAGCTCTGCAAAAGACGGCATGTCTCGCCGAAAAATACTTGAGTTGTTCCGGGGCTGGTTGTTATCTGCAATGTATGGCATGGTGTGGCCAAACTAAGGTTGGGGATGAAATGGCAAACGTTCTGTAGGGGGAAGAAATCGCGACACGGGCGTTGCATATGCCTCTCCCAGCCCTCCATCGCCCTGTACTTGTTACGAGTGTGAACACAATAACCCGCTGTGTACACGAGACGGCGTTAGTGAGGCTTGCCACACCGAGAGCAACACGCCGGGGGCAATCTATCGGCGGATCACGTTCGTTTTTCGCCCCCGTTGAAAATGAACCCCCGGATGATTGATCGTGTTGTTCTCTTGGCCCCGAAGGTTTTGAACCTGACCGAAATCGACTCAGAGTACCAAGGGAACTGGTGGAAGCTGCCCAATGTCTTCGAGACATTCGCCAAGTCGAGGTACTACGTACAAAACGACACGTACTACGCGTGGAGCAAGCGGAAGGACAGGTACATCGACGGCGAAATCATCGTTGCCAGCTGGTCGCCGGAGGAGAAGCCGGATAGCCTGATCTACGGGCAAAGCGCCACCGTGATGGTAGACGGCATCACGTGCTCGTCGAACGGAACGCGGGACGACACAACGGTTACCCGGAGGAACGCAACCGACCACATCGAAGAATGGGGCACCGTTCTGGAGTGTGACCGTGGGCCTGGGATCACCAACGGCACCGGCAAGAGCAAGCCCTCGATCATTCTCACCGCGCACGACGGCGGCGACACACACGTTATCGTAGAGGAGACCAGCAAGCACCCCAGCTTCCTCTACTCCGTCTGGAACGCAACCGGCGATTCCATCACCGCTGCCGGCGACTCCTCCGTCGAGATCGCCTACGCCTTCCACATCGCGTCCACCGTGCGGCTTGCCGAGGCAGTGGTCACCGGGATCGTAAACGGCGTGGCTGGCGGCGGCGGCGGCGCTTGTTTCGGCCTCCTCCGAGCGTACAGCAAGGGCAGCGACACGCCGGAGTTCGAGGAGTACGGTACCGAAAAGGCGACGCCATTTGGCGAGGACCCCGAAAATGGCGCGGTGGACTCCTTGAACGAGGTGGAGATCATCAACACCGGGGTCATGATGAACGCCAACGCGATGGTGGCCTTCGTTTGGTTGTTGGTCCTGAGCTTCATCGGCTTTGGGATGACCTTCTTCTTGCGTTCCAAAATCGACATGGATATCTACGACAGGTACTGTGCCAAAGTAGAACACCGTCGGCAGCAAGGTGGCTGCCGCGTTGGTCAGTATGTGCCCGTCGTTAAGCGTTCACTTCTCAAGAGTTCCTTCGACGAGCTATACCATGGGCGCCTTGCGGCTAACGATATTCACAGTATACCCCGCGTCATGCCGTCGGTCGAGCGAGAGGCTCCGATTTCGCCGGCACAACCGTGCTCGTCTGTTCGCTAGAACTTTTATTTGTTGCCTCTGTACCAGGCACTACGAGCACCAAGCGCGATCCACCTTGCACGCCCGCAAAACCCCGCAGGGACGAGCTACTCCGCGTGATCTCCCTCCAGGCGCAGGGGTTCCCCGACGACCCCTCCAAGCACTCCGCGATGCGCATCTACGTCCAGAGGGAAGAGGGGAGCAAGCACGTGAGCGTCGTTATCAGCGAGGCCGACGGCAACCAGAGCGACTGCTGGGGCTTTCTCACGAGAAGAGGGCCCGAGGTGAGCGAAGATCCCGTGCCGGTGTCGGATAACGCCCCGGATGAATTCGGCGGGGCTCCCTTGCCGGTCGGCCGCCCGCGCTTGTATATTGGTGGCATGAGGACAGGGCTGGGCAGGGCCTTTCCCGGCCCGATGAACAACTTCATCTACCCGGAGTCCGTCGCTTCGTCCGTCACTCTGAGCGGTTCGCCCGTGCCGCTCCCGCTCGGCCCCACGACGGCATCGCCGACGCTTTCCCCCGCCGTCGTAGTACGGGGGGTGGCTGTTCCGAATCCCCGGCCGGGGGTACCACTGATTCCGCCAGACCGAGGCGCGTCAGTCCTCTTCGAGAGCGTGTTCTCAGAAAGCGAAGATGACGACGGCGACAACAACGGCAGAGACGCCGACGATGGCGACGTGGGTACTGGGACTGACGGCGGCCCGCCGCCGGGCCTTCAACGTCCCGCGTTCGGTGGCGAGCACGGCGGGACCGACTCCCGGCGGGGCCACAGTCCGTCGGGGCGCGCCTCATCGTTGGTCGGGTTCGCCAGCCGGGATCCGGACAGCGACGCCACCAGGGCTCCTGTGGAGACGGCAAACCAGGGTAGCGGTCACAACACCGGGGGCGGTCGTGGCGGAGCGACCGCCAGGTCCGGTGACCATCGTTTGCACGCCCGGGACTGGACTACGCCTCCGCCGGACAGCACGGGGGGCTCCCCGGTGCCCTCGGGAGTGTTGACGACAATGGACACGCTCGGCCCTCCGCAGATGATGCCGCTGACCCGGGCTTCGGGGGAAGAAACCAAGCAAGAGGGCGGCGTACCGTTGCCACCGGTGTGATGTTTTTGTTCATGCGGCGCCGTCGGGAACGGCGTGCCGCAGACTTCCGCGGACGTGCTTGTTTTGATGTGCAGAGGTTGCGTACACGCTTGATGCTGTGTTTTTTTTGGGTTATGTTGAATTTGAGACGACTTCTGTGCAGCAGCGGGACGTATGTTCAACAGCCGTTCGCTTGGCTTCGCTGCTTTGTGAAAACAGCGTTTACTATTTGGGTGCATGGGGAGGCAAAGGAGTCGACTGGTATTGTACACGCGCTTGCCACTGCAGCGATCGTATTTCCCGACCAACGTTGGACGGGGAGGAGTTGAAAGTGTGCATGTCCCGCACGCATGTGTTTTCAATCCCGTTTTCACCAGGCGTTGAGTGCGGCATCTATAAATGCAGGGGAATGGTAGTGGGGTAGAGGGAAAGTCGGACAAATTTCTTGCAAGCACGCTGCAAGAGGTATGATAAATCAAGCGCGTGTCGTTCCTGTTCTCCTCTCAAGAGCCTAGGGTACGGGGTGAATGTCACACACTATTTATTCTCCCAAATGGTGGATGAAGGATAGGGACAGCCCGCCTTTGTGGGGGATGTCTCAGTCATTCTGCAGGCCACAATGTTTCACCGCCCTCCGGTACTTGTCTGTTTTATTTATTTCCAAGTGGTTCCTCAAACAGTTGGATACAAACGGTTCCGTATCGGAGAAAAAGCGCCCATCTGGATTTTGACGCCTTCGAGATGCTAGAGGTGGATGGCAAGCCCGAGTCGAAGAGTAGCACGACTATATAGTCGGGGAACAGCCTAGAGAGGGCAATGTATAAAATAAAATTGATTTTGATCATTGAGTGAGGCTTCCCTCAGCGCTACTAACAGCGACACGAGTATTGTATTGATTGTATTTTAATTTTCCAGCCTCAGTCCTGCACCACGGTTGTCAACCTAGTATATTTTATTGCTAGTTTACAGTGCTGTATAGGTTACCCTTTGGGGGGGGTGCCAGGGGGGGAAACCCGCGCGGTGATCAGGGTTTTCCCCGTGGGGTGAGGAGTGTTTTCCCCAACCCTGGAGGAAGAGCCTTTTTTGGGGGGGAGGGGGGTTTGGGGCCCAAGGGAACCTTTTTTGGGGGCGGGGGGGGGGGGGGAGTATTTCCCTATCATACTAGGTAAATATATATAATTCTTGGGTGATTTTCATGCTGTCCATAACGTTTTTCCGAGAGGTTTGCAGTCGACTTTTTATGTCCACGCGGTCTTCGTTGGGGGGGGGGGGTATGTTTTCCGTATATTTTCAGGGTGTGCTTGCAGCGTAGAGAACTCCCTCCCTTGTTCATCGTTGCCAACGACCACGGAAAATGTGTACAATAGGCGAGCAGAACCAGCACTGGGTACCTTGATGATGGGTTCACCGACTAATGAATGGGATACGAAGCGGATAACGAAAATATGGGTGTTTCTGTAGAAAAGTATGGGTGTTTTGCGTACCGTAGAACGTCGGTAGTATTCCGTATCGCACGCGTTGGAGACAAAGCACGATGTATGAGAGAAGGGTATAAAAAGGATGGTAGAACGGCGATGGCACGGCTGTACCGCATGTTTCTGCCGTTTGCACAGTACCGGTTTCCCCGACGCAAGAATTGTGAACGTGAGCAGTTTCACTGACATCTACACCTCCCAGCAAGTAGCGAGCACCCTGATCGGCGACGACGATACCGTCTCCAAACAAGGGGGGAGGGTGCACCACCTTGCACTCAATTCACCAATTTTCTGAGCAATGAGTTGCTGGTGCAATCTCCTCTAGACAGACGTTCTCGCACCCAGGGACTACTATTTGGCTTGGCACGGGCGCAAACATAAAAATATCGATATATATGTACTACTGTATACATACGGATGCGAGGTCTGCTTTGGAGAGAGTCACCTGCAGTAATCGAGATAAGAAACCATCCGCGCGCCAGGCCCGGAAAGCAAACCTTTCAGCGTGTAACGGAGTTATCGTGGAGCCTGTGCGTAAGCACACCCCCGGACATTTCTTGTTGGATGCTGGCACAGAGTCTGGCAGGGTCCCCGATTGTCAGCATAGATCATTTGGGGCGAAAACGCGATAAACATCACCCGACCCAGGGGTGGTGTCGAGGGCAGAAGCTTTCAATTTTGTTGCTCCTTGTGTTGGCTGTCGACGATGATGACGAGATGCTTACCTTTTTTTTTCCCAGACAAGGTTTGTCTCACGACCTTCGCAAGCACTTGGATGTGTGTGCGAAAACCACCCTTGTTTCACGATCATGTAAATCCTACCATATAACCTTCGGGAACGTTCCCCACGTTCTCCCCGGAAGATTGTCTCTCGGAGCGATGTCGATGTCGTCAACGATCCGAGCCACGAGGCTTCCCCGGATAGTTGACCGTGACTTGAATCCGAGAGGGATGCGAGGGCGTGCCCTCGCACACCTCTCTCTCACTCTTCAATCTTCGCTTCTGTTCTATTCCCATCTAATCCAGAGATTCTACCGGGCACTTACTTACAGTCTGTCCAACACCGCTCCTAATTTACCTCACCCCATATCTGCGGCCGTTGCCTGCAGTAGTAGTGGAACGTCTGCGTAAACAGGGTTGGAGAATCACACCTCCCTGCGGTGTTCTCGAGTACAACCCCATGATGCATTGGTTCAAATAACCTCTTACTACCTACACGATACATACCCGCATCTCCCCACCGTGGGGGATCATTCCACTGAGTGTATTTGAACTATACATGGCGAATCATTGGACTTATGCGTAGTTGCCTCTGGGCAGGGCAAAATACATAAGCGGGACTGCATACGAAACCGCCAACAGCAGTGTTCTTCAAAGTTAGTGTTGTATGCCTGTCTAATACCACATGCATGCTCCAACCGAAATGAGACAGCGACACCACCACACCACCACGGAACCCCGTGCTGCAGATCTGAAGACCCACCACACAGAACAACAATCAACCATTATGAAGAACGTTCCCCAAGCTTGGCGTTCCTTGAAATGACTTGCCGCTGCCAAAATTGCGGTACTCCTTGGTACTCCGGATTATTTTTATTGCGGTGTCTGCGGCTCGGGCGTGCGCGAACTTTCGGCAACAGAGAAAAAACGGGTCACAACCGCACCCATCCAAGACGGCAGCAGGTGAATAGACAGGATGGTCGCGCGGGGGGGGGGGGGGCAAAAAGCTGGAATTAACGTGCCCAAAATAAATTAGGGTTTCAATCTTTTACCTTCCCC